TCAACATCATTCAGATGTGAAGAACTATTACAAAATTGAAATAGATTTCTAATGCATTTATTACACATTTTTAGTAGCATGTGATTTAAAATCAGAAAAAAAAAAGAAAAATGGTTTGACACTTTTCACTCATTTACACCAAAACATAATACACTTCGACTAGATTTTGGCTATTATGGACCTTAACATGCAATGTGACCTTGGTCTGAAAAAGCATGTTTGGTTAGCATGGAAACTTAATCATAAGAAGTCATAAGTAGAATCCTTCTTCTTTACTGCCTTTTCCTAGGTCTAGGAAATTTATTGCTTGTGAGACAGGTAGGATATGAACAATGGGCCAAATAGAGTCCAGGGTTATCTCATCTGTGTGAAAACTGCTGCTGAAAATCAATGTGACCTCTGCTATACTGTCATCCCAATTCCCACCCTCTGTGTACTATTTGTCTTTCAGTAGAAGCTTAGATCTGTGTGCTGTCTCTATGTGTCTCTCTTGGGCAAGATTATCAAAATGAATCATTGCCTGCATACCTCTTATATTTCTATTTATTTTCCTGGTGCTGACTAGGACCGATGAAATATGATTCTTTTTGCATTTGATCCTCACTGCAGTAAGCAACACCTAATTCAACTGTGTCCATCTCTTTAAAGAAGAGTAATGTTATTTTGAAACTTCAATCTACTGTACAGCAACATTACAAACCATAGACCATGCAACCTGTCTTCATAGTCAATAGCAATCTTCTTTACAGCCAATTCAAAAGCATTTATTTCATCTCCAAATAGAAGATTTCTGGGAATTTTAATGTAGTTTTAATTTTGTTTTATGAATACTGAATATATTGCTTTCCTTTTTGGATATCTTGTTTGCAGAATATCCCTCAGATTCTTACCACTGCAGTTACTTGTGTAGAGAGAGATACATAATGAAGAATCCATTAATTTTAAGAACTCTGCCCCTGATTCAAAATGTTTATTCAGGAGAAACATTATATTATCTCTGAATCAGCAGGATGTCAATGTTCTAATTTTTTAGCAGTTCATTTTTGTAAGAATAGATCTTCCAGTCTACATAAATTCATACTTTAAGATTTATAAACATCAATACAAAGATGTAAAACCTTCCCAATTATTATCAATAAATCATTATGAAGTTATTCTATCCACTTGTCATGTGCAGAAAACAAAATACTTGCTGAATAGACTTCAAGCTATAGAAATATGACATAATATTCCTTGGTTAGGTGTTAAGAAATATACTTTAGAAGCATTAGAGATGATACTTAAAACATTTTAGAATTTAGTTTTTAAATTACATATTTCAAATGTTCAGACTTTGTAGTTGAAATAGATCACAGAATTTCTAATGTGTTCAGTCTCTTTGGAATATTCCACCTCTTCCATAACTATCACTGGCAAAGAAGGAGGGAAGGAGGGAGGGAGAGAAGGAGGCAGGGAAGGAAAGAAGGAAAGAAAGAAGGATGGGAGGGAGGGAGAGAGGAAGAGTTTAGACTTAAGGGAGTTAGACTTAAGGGAGTTGTGCAAAACACATCCATCATGCATTTATAGTCAAAATATTATTTTTTAAGTTTTATAAAAAACAATTCTTGAGAATATGTTCATTATTGCTTCTTGTGCTAAAAGAAAATTAACAGGTTAATTTATATATTTTATTGAATTATTTAAGACCAATAAACGAATGCTTTTTATAACGTTTTGGATCCAGATAATATGAAACTGTTAATTCTATAAAATAATTGTTTAGCATTTTTTATCCATGTAGATTTTAGAAAAATGGAAGTTGTTAAAAAATTGGAAATGGTGATTTCTATTAAAAACATTTTATTCAGAAAATAGAGCTTCCCTATGACCCTGCAATTGCACTACTGGGTATTTACCCCAAAGATACAGATGTAGTGAAAAGAAGGGCCATCTGTACCCCAATGTTCATAGCAGCAATGGCCACAGTCGCCAAACTATGGAAAGAACCAATATGCTTTTCAACAGATGAATGGATAAAGAAGATATGGTCCATATATACAATGGAGTATCATCCTCCATCAGAAAGGATGAATGCCCAACCTTTGTATCAACATGGACAGGACTGGAGGAGAGTATGCTGAGTGAAATAAGTCAAGCAGAGGAGTCAATTATCATATGGTTTCGCTTATTTGTTGGAGCATAAGGAATAACATGGAGGACATGGGGAGATGGAGAGTAGAAGGGAATTGGGGGAAATTGGAAGGGGAGATGAACCATGAGAGACTGTGGACTCTGAGAAACAATCTGAGGGTTATGGATGGGAGGGAGGTGGGAGGTTGGGTGAGCCTGGTGGTGGGTATTATGGAAGGCATGTATTGCATGGAGCACTGGGTGTGGTGCATAAACAATGAATTCTGGAACACTGAAAAGAAATTTAAAAAATAAATATATTTTTTTTAAAAAGCAAAAAAAAAAAAAAGCATTTTATTCAGAGATAATGCTGTCCCATTAAAAATCTCAAAGAAGTTTCCCACAATTATATGCCACAGCTTCCCATACAGTAAATGGTGCATACCATTTACTATGGAGCAAACCATGATGATTATGAAGTCTGTGTGGTTCATAATTACATGTATAGGCTTCTTGCAATTGAAGAACTAGCTCTATCTATATGATAAATCCATATTTCTATCCCTCCTGGAACCAGAACCAATAGCTAAATTTTTGTTAAAATTTGTTAGGTCCAGATTCAAGGCTAGTTGTGTTTTTGTTTTTTGTTTTTTTTCCTCAAATGACTTTCATAATATATGGGGTCACTGAAATTTTTTCTGACCAGGGAGGTTCATATTTTTTTGCACTTTGCTTTTGCCCAGTTACCGAAATGAAGAGACTATAGTAAGTAGAGTAATTTTGTTTGAGGGGCTATGATTCATGCCATCCTGTACTGCTGTTGAAGGCATTTAAGAATACCAGGCTCTGAAAGATGTAGTAAAATGAAGGGACACCTGCATCCCAACATGCATAGCAGCAATGTCCACAATAGCTAAACTGTGGAAGGAGCCAAGATGTCCTTCAACAGATGAATGGATAAAGAAGATGTGGTCCATATCTACAATGGAATATTATTCCACCATCAGAAAAGATGAATACTTACATTTACATCAGCATGGACATGGAGGGTATTATGCTAAGTGAAATAAGTCAATAGAAGAAAGGCAGTTATCATATGGTTTCACTAATATGTGGAATATAAGAAACAGTGCAGAGCACCATAAGGGAAGGGAGGGAAAATTGAATGGGAAGAAATAAGAGAGGGATAAAAAACATGAGATATTCTTAAACACAGGAAAGAAATTGAGGGTTGCTGAAGGGCAGGTGGGGGGAGGGATGGGGTAACTGGGTGATGGGCACTAAGGAGGGCACATGATGTGGTGAACACTGGGTGTAATACACAACCGATGATTTGTTGAACACTACATCTGGAACTAATGATGTGTTATGTGTTGGCTAATTGAATTTAAATAATAAAAAAATACCACGGTTTGGGGATGTCTGGGTAGCTCAGTTGGTTAAGCATCCAACTCTTGACTTCAGGACGGGTCATGATCTCGAGGTTGCAAGGTCGAGAACTGTGTCTGTCGGTCTCTGTGCTAGGTGGAGCATATGCTTGAGATTCCCTCTCTCCCTCTTCCTGTGCCCCTTCCCTCCATTCTCACTCTCTTTCTCAAATAAATAGATGAATTAAAAAAAAAAGAATGCCATGATTTGTTTGGGTACTTTCAAAAATTACTTCTTTGTAGCAGTTTATTTTTATCCCTGTCAAAAAAGCCCCAATTTCTAATTGCAGGGGAAAATTTGCTGTCTGATGATTTGCACTTGATCTTAGCCAAAAGGCCGAGAAGCAATGCTGTCTGATGATTTGTACATCTCACTTAAAAGATATTCAGTCAGAATTCAAATACATAGTCAGATAGTTAGCTTCTCAGTGTAAGAAAAGATTCTTTTTGTAATCAGGTATATCGGTTCAAAACATCTTATTAAACAATAACTTTATTGGTGTCTCTTTACCTGAAGCTAAGAGAGAATCTTGTTAAAGTAATGAGAATGAGGGAAAAGATAACATAAAAATAAATGGTGAGAAAATTTACTTCTGTTTTTACATCACAGCTAATATTTTTTTCATAAGTAGTATTCTTCAAAATAAAATGTAACACTGGAAATAATCCAAATGCTTGTCAGCTAGTGAATAATTAAACAAAAAGCAATATATCCATGTAATGGAATACTTTTCAGCAATAAAAAGGAAGAAACCACTGATACATGCTACCTCATGGATGAATGTCAAAAACATTATGCTAAGTAAAAGAATCCAGACATAAAAGACCACATATTGTATCTATTTGTGTAAAATATCCAGAAAAGGCAGTCCTATAGAGGCAGAAAGTAGATTAATTATTGCCAAGCACTGGGGGTGTGGAAGGAAATTAACTGTAAATGAGCATGATGGATATTTTGGGGGTGATCAAGATGTTCTAAGATAGATTTGTGATGATGGTTGCACAACTCTGTATATTTAATAAAAATCATTGAAATATACATTTAAATAGGTGGATTTTACTGTGTATGAATTATACTTCAATAAAGCTATTAAAGAATGGAGATGATAGATGATAGATAGATGACAGATAAATTTGAAAATAAAAAAATAGTGTATGCTTTACAAGGAGGTGATCTGATTATTTAATTTATAGGTATTCATAAACATATCATAAATGTGTTTCTCCAAGTCTCATACATCTTTACCAGTATATGCTCTTTGATTTTCACTGATTATTTCCTGACATTTATTTTGAAAGAACAAAGGCAACTAGGGAATAGGTATGACTTCCAATTAAGAGTTTTCCATCATCTAGTTTTAGAAATAAAATATTTATAGATACTTTTAGAGGTAAAGGAAACACAGTGAAAATTCTGACCTGTTAATTTGTGAACATTCTGATATTAATTTTGTTTTTTTCCAGAAGAATTACAATTTCAAATCCCAATGATGAAGTCACCCTTGGACAAGATCCAACTGACCCCTGGCCAGGCATTGTCTCCTGGATTCCCTGGACCATTCATTTTTGCTGATAGTCTGTCCTCCGTGGAGACTCTGTTGACCAACATTCAGGTCAACAATATTTCTATAAACAAAATAAATGTAATACAAAACATTAGCATCTACATAAATTATTTCATATTTGAGAAACTAAAACAGATAAGATGAACTGCATGTCATTTGCTGCACTTTGACAGGGTCTACTGAAAGTGGCTTTGGATAATGCTCACTTCCAGGAGAAGCAGATTCAGCAAGAAAAAAAGGAACTGCAAATGGAGCTCTATAGAGAGAGAGAAATTAGAGAAAACCTTGAAAGACAACTTGCAGTTGAGCTTCAAAGCAGAAGTAAGTTTGACAAGTTCAATTACAGAATAAGCACTTTGTTGTAGACATTTTCAAGAGTAGTAGAAATATCCTCAGATTTAGTTTGGAACTACTGAAAAAAGTGACAAGCTAAGAATCAAATACTTTGTGTAATCCACATGGCAAGATATTTATACCATTTCTATTTATTATAAAAGATAATGAACTAGATCTGGACTTCAGGCCAGTTGCCGATTTGGAAAATATGAATATTCTTAGTTTTCTCAAAATTTCATAAAATACTCCTGGATATAGATAATCTAATAATTTCTTGTAGATGAAATGCTTAATCTTTGCCAAGAATAGTGCTGGATTCTGGGGATTTAAGATAAATAAAACTCAGTCCCTGTCCTTGAGAGATTTGTATTTTAGAAGGCTAGCACAACCAACCAGTTAATTTCAAGACAAAGTGGCAAGAGCAATGATGTACAGTATATATGGTTATATAGAGAAGAGGTAGTTAGCGCAGCTTGGTGGGGAAGTGAATAGTTGAGGAACGCTTCTTGGTGCTGATACTTGAACCTGAGTCTTGAAGATCAGTAGGCTAAGAAAGGGCGTGAGAGTATCTGAGTAATTTAGACATTCTAGACAGAGGTATCAGTGAGCATAGGCATGAAAGCAAGAAGCAGCATACATTGGCAACTATAAACAGTTTGTTATTACTGTGGCTCTAAATTTTATGAAGTGAATTGTGGGAGATAATGGAGAAAGATGAGGGTAGAAGCTAAATTGTGAAGGACATTTTTAACAATGTGAAAAATTAGCTTGGATTTTGTCTTACTGGTGATGGGAAGTAGTCAAAGATAAACAAGGGAAATGATCTGGTCTGATTTTAATTAGACCACTTTGGTGTTGGGGATAGATTAGAAAGGGCTTGGAGTAAGACTAAAAACAAGGAAATTATGTAAAAAGAATTTGCTCTTGGCAGTGGTGATGAGGACTGAACTAGGATAGCATAAATAGGGATGGAGACAAAAGAGAGAATGGGGAATTAATGTTCACAAATAGAACTAACTTTCCAACCATGGGTGGACATTAGATTAAGTACAGATATGGATAAAGAGACTAGTTCATATCAAAACCAGAGATAATTTCTAAAACTTCACTTCAGCCAATAATTTCCACATTTTCCTTACATTTACCTTAAAATACTAAATAGCAGCAAAGTGATGATTGTGAATTTCAACTTCTTCTCTTTTCTGCTTACTCTTCTGTGGAAGACTCATAAAGTAAAAATTCAATAAAATAGTTGAAGTGTGGGAAGGAGAGGCAAAGGAAGGGAGAGAAAATCCACAAGGTAGACAATGCCTCCTTAAGAAAGGAAGAGTAATTCCAGTTGAGTGAAATCCACTAACTACATTATTCCAAAGTACTATATTATATTCCAAAAGTTTTAGCAAGTAATTAAAACCTTACTGTATATTTTCCTTAAAGTCTAGGAATCATTATTAGTCTGGTTCAAAATATAAATTTAGTCACTGCATTTAAAAATAATTAAACCTGTTTAAAAAATAAAATCTTTAAAAAATGGGGGCACTTTGTTGGCTCAGTTGGTAGAGCATGTGACTCCTGATCTCAAGGTTGTAAGTTCAAGCCCTACATTGGTTCTAGAGTTTACATAAATAAACAGACAAATAAATAAATAAAATCTTTAAAAACAAAAGAATTGAACCTCTCATTATCTTGCCAAACTCATTAAAAACTATTAAGCAAAAACTTAACTTTTTGAAACTTAGAAAAATTCATTTATTTCTTGTATTTGGTATGCAAAATATTATTATGAATAGCAGTCATAAAGACATATTTTAGTAGGATAATTTTTTATACTAAAGAATCTAATAATCATATGTTAAATATAATAACAGTCTTAGATTGACTTATGCCTATCTACTACATAGACTAAAATTGGCTTCTAACTTTTAGGGTTGTACTCAAATCAATTTCTTTTTATTAACTTCTCATAGACTCTTCAGGTCTTTTAACTACTATCACATCTATTGTATTTTAAAAAGACCCAAAAATGATAGGGGCACCTGGGAGGCCCAGTTGGTTGAGCATCTGCCATTGGCTCAGGTTGTGATCCTGGGGTCCTTTCTCCCTCTCCCTCTACCCCTCCCCACTGCTCATAATCTCCCCATGCTCTCCACAACACTCCTCATGTTCTCCCCACACCTGTTCATGCTCTACCCCCTTTCCGTCATGCTCTCTCATTTGCACTCTCAAGTAAATAAATAAAATATTTAAGAAAAATAAAAATAAAAAAGGTCTTGACATGGTAGATGTAATATTATATCTACTATCAAACTTATTCTGAAATATTTGTATTTAATAAATGTAGCATATTATTATTATGGTATAATAATAATACCACTGTTACTACCATATCACATTATCATTACTACTATCATTACTGTCACTACTACTAGTATACTACTAGTACTTCTACTAGTACTACTACTGGCTAAAGCTTATCAACTGTCTGCTATGTGCTAAGCACTACTTTGAACATCTTACATCTAATGACTAACATAATTATAAGAAACTGTTAATCTGGGGGCGCCTGGGTGGCTCAGTGGCCTAAAGCCTCTGCCTTCGGCTCCGGTCATGATCTCAGGGTCCTGGGATCAAGCCCCGCGTCGGGCTCTCTGCCCAACAGGGAACCTGCTTCCTCCTCTCTCTCTCTCTCTCTCTCTCTGCCTGCCTTTCTGCCTACTTATAATCTCTGTCTGTCAAATAAATAAATAAATAAAATCTTGAAAAAAAAAGAAACTGTTAATCTGTCATCCTCACTGATTAAGAAAAAATTATATACTTCATCTCTATGAACCTCAGTATCCTCATCTATTATAATAGTTGAATTGGATAATCACTTAAATTCCTTTCTAGTTTCCTAAATATCTCATATCCAGTATAACCAACTTTTTTTTGACAAAGGGTGAACTCTTTATCTGAAGTCATATGATTGAAAGGAAAGAGGGGGGAAATTGATCTTATGCTCAAAAGTAACAACTATCCAAGTATATAGAAAGAATATAATTATATATATGTAAATATTCCATAAAAACATAGTTTTATATATATATATATATATATATATATATATTTATATATATATTTAGAATTCTTATTATTTTTCTAGTCAAAAAAATAGTGAGATATAGTCCCAGAAAAAGTGCTAGGTACATAGTAACTCCTAAATAAATAGTAGTTATTATTTTTCTTTATGTAATTTAAAATGTAATATGCTGATGCTGTGGAATTGTTGAGCACAATGTTCAAGAGAAAATTCGTAAGATGTTTTACAATACAACTAAATAAGTTTATTTAAGTAGCACAGGGACAGGACCCATGGACAGAAAGAGTTGTACTTTTTACTCCATGAAGCTGGTGGTTCTATGCTTAATGCTCAAAGAGGAGGGGATGTGCAGGGAGTATTACATCATAAATGTCTTTTTCAAATATCTACTCATAAAATTGTTTCAAAATATTTCTCTGGCACTTATCATTCAATTCATATTAACTGTCAGCGAGATTTATAGGCAGTCATGAGACACTTTAAGAATGTAGCAATTAGCACATAAGTCATCCTTATCAGAACGATGCAGGCTATAAGTCAGTCTTTTGAGCTAAAGGTCCACATTTTTGCTTCTTTCTTCACCGTGACATTGTTTGTAATATATGTAGTCATAAATTTAAAGGGAATCAACATATAGGATATTTTTGAGCCAATAATTTTACTAGAAGCAAAATTTTGGATTATCAAGAACATTAAGTTATACAATAATTTGAATAATCAAGATTTCTGATTTATATAATCTTTAAATGCTTTATATGAATGGTGATAAATAAGTATAATTATTAAAATACTAAGTTATTAAATTATTAAATACTAAAATATTTTTATGTTGAACCTAATTTAATACTTTTTGCCAAAAATAACAGAACCCATATGATAATTGAGTCAATTATCATATGGTTTCACTGATTTGTGGAGCAAAACAAATAGCATGGAGGACAAGGGGAGTTAGAGAGGAGAAGGGAGTTGAGAGAAATTGGAAGGGGAGGTGAACCATGAGAGACTATGGACTCTGAAAAACAATCTGAGGGTGAGGGAGGAGTCAAGATGGCGAAGAAGTAGCAGGCTGAGACTACTTCAGGTAGCGGGAGATCAGCTAGATAGCTTATCTAAAGATTGCAAACACCTACAAATCCAACGGGAGATCGAAGATAAGAAGAACAGCAATTCTAGAAACAGAAAATCAACTACTTTCTGAAAGGTAGGACTGGCGGAGAAGTGAATCCAAAGCGATGGGAAAATAGAATGCGGGGGGAGGGGCCGGCTCCCGGCAAGCGGCGGAGCAACGGAGCACAAAATCAGGACTTTTAAAAGTCTGTTCCGCTGAGGGACATCACCCCAGAAGCTTAACCGGGGTGAAGCCCAAGCGGGGTCAGCGTGGCCTCAGGTCCCGCAGGGTCTCAGAAGGATCAGGGGTGTCTGAGTGTTGCAGAGCTTACAGGTATTAGAACCAGGAAGCCAGCTATAGAGACAGAGCCTAGGAGTGAGCTCTAAGCTCGGGGTTACCTTGAACTTGTCGCAGGCTCGGTGAGCTCGGAGCGCGGCCGGAGGCCAGGGTGACGGGAGTAATTGGGCGCTGTTCTCTGAGGGTGCACTGAGGAGTGGGGCCCCGGGCTCTCTGCTCCTCCGGGCCGGAGACTGGGAGGCCGCCATCTTCATTCTCGTCCTCCGAAACTCTACGGAGTGTGCTCAGGGAACAAAAGCTCCCGAAAGCAAACCGGAGCGGATTACTCAGCCCGGCCCCTGGTAAGGGTGGTGCAACTCTGCCTGGAGCAAAGACACTTGAGAATCACTACAACAGGCCCCTCCCCCAGAAGATCAACAAGAAACCCAGCCAGGACCAAGTTCACCTACCAAGGAGTGCAGTTTCAATACCAAGGAGAGCAGTGGAATTCCAGAAGAGGAG